CGTGTAGGGTGCTGGGGGAGGGGACAGCAGGGAGGACGGTGTTGCTGTGGACTGTTGTCCGGTGAAGTGGGAGAGGGGAGAGAAGGAAGCTTCAGACCTGACTGTTCCTGCCTCAGTGCCCAGTTCCTCCTCCGAGGAGCCCCTAGGCACAACTTCTTGCCCAGCAATCCCAGGGGAGCTTGGCCAAGGCCAGCAGTCTGGGGCCAGGGCTCTTCCCTCCCACCTGCCTGGCCTCAGAGAACACTGCACGTGGGCATGCAGAGATGGAGACTCAAGAGAGAACTCGGTCAGAAAGGACCACAGCTTCCTCTCCTGACTATCCCAACCCAGCTCCCAACCCACCAGAACTTGATCAGCCAAATAGCTCCTTCTTATGACCTGTCCGTGAGCCAGCTCACCCCCTCCCAAGCCTCAGGCTCTATGCTCCAGTTGGGAAGGTCCTCCTCTCCTTCTGTTCAATCCCTGTCTCCTCCAAGAAACCTTCCCTTCCCAGTCCTGTCAAGAACGGTCAGAAACATAGGACTCCAGCCTTTGACCACCCCGTTCAGATGACCATCTCTGCAGAGGCCGACTCCCCAACTCCTGTCCCTGTTGCATAAGCCTGGGCTCCTGGGTTGGGGAGAATTTGCTGGGTTTTCAGTGCTTCCAGGGATGGAGGTATGGCCTGGGAGTCTGGCTGCCTCTTGGACTCCTGGAGGATGGGGGAGGCTGGCACAGAGGCTGCATGGAGAAGGAAATTGCCCTGCCTTCTCAGCATCAACTGAGACCCAGTCATGACACCCTGGCATCTGGCCAGAAGAACTATTGATGTGAACCTGTGCCCCCCACCTCCCTCTAAGTTTCTTGGGTGAGCCAGCAATAGCACCATGGAGGATCAGGTCACAGGGTCACAAGACTTCTTGTCCCACCATCCATCCACCTAAAGTTCTGCCCTTTGTCCATCCTTCTCAGTGCCTGTCTGACTGCTTCCTTCCCCAGGGGCTTCTGGGAACATTCCTCTGGTCTTTCAGGATTCAGGGGCCTGTCCAGCCAGGACCCCAGCAGCTATGACAGACCCAAATTGGGGCCCTCCCCTTTCCTTTTCTCTCCTGGTGGCTGCCCTGGGATTGCCACTGAGGACAAGCCAGGCTGTCCATGTCCTGGGCTCCCAAAGCCCTGCCTGGAAGGAGGACAGACCTTGACCTTTGTCCATGCCCTAATGCTCTGAGGGGGAGAGGGAAGTCAAGAGGACAGGCAGGGCAGGTGGGAAGGCAGGCTCAGGTGCAAATGGAAGGCTCAGAGGCAGCTTGAGCTCGGACAGTGTGGGGCACAGGCAGTAAAAATGGGTCAGTGTGGAAAAAAAAAAGAATGTGTCAGCATGGTACACAGCCTCTCTGGGGCAGCCTGTGTGTGTATGTGTGTGTGTGTGTGCGCACGCGCACCCTGGAGGCACGGTGGATGACGGCTGAGGAGCACCATCCCTCTCCCCATCAGTGTCCTGTGCTTCTCCCCTGCTCACCTCCATTCACAGCAGCAGCCCCTGGAAACCAGGCAATGCATTTTCCCTTAGTCGTGACCTTGCAGAAGGAAAGCAAAGTCTTCCTCATTTCCTCCCGCTCACAGCTGCACTTGGGCCTGGCCCCCCACCCCCTGCTGGGGTGGGAGCCCCAGGAGCCTGGCTTGGGACAGGAGTTTGTCCAACACACACACACACACACACAACTCCTGCACCCTGTGTGGTGGTGGGTGGGGGGAACATTTCCCTGCAGCTTGGGACCCAGGGCTGCTGCACTGTGCCCGTGAACCCAACCTCTGCAATGGCTGCTCTCTCAGGGGCTGGATTAAGTCTGAGCCCTGAGACAGCAGGCACCACCCTTAGCTTCCCCTGGCCCTGACTGCCTGGAGCCAGGCTGTAGAGCCAGGGCAGGGCTTTGGGGACAAGGAGGGAGGAAGTCTCAGTCCTTGCAGACAGCCCATGGGAGGCCTGGGGAGGCAGGTCTTGGAGAGGCTCCCTGGGCTGTAACATTGCACTGGGAGCCCTGAGCTCCTTCAGGGCCTGGGAAACCTAGAACTCAGCTCAGGGTGCAGACTAGGTGCTGGGAGCAGGGAATGAGCTGGCTCCCTTCTCATTTTCTGTGAGGAACCAGAGGCCCTTCCTGCTCTCCAATTTCTAGAATAGCCTCAGGCCCAGAGGAGTCAGCTCTGCCAGGAAAAGCCATTACACTGACAGCCTCCCTCCACCTGCTAAAAGCCTCCCAACTTCCCCTGGGGCCTCCACCCTCTAAATAGCCTCATCTCCACTCACCTAGCCCTGCTGACCTCTTTGGTGTGGGGTGGGGGTGGGGGTGGGAGGAAACTCTAGCTTAACTCTTTCTCTGCCTGAGGGGCATCAGCACAGGGGGCTCCCTTGGCCTTGCCCCATCGCCTTTCCCCCTCTTTCCACCTGGAATTCCTCCTGCCAGCTGCCCAGGAGCTTGAGCAGAGAAGTCAAGAGGCTGCAGAGATCAAGAGGGTAGAAGACAGGCTGGCAAGTAGGGACCATAGGTGTCAACCTGTATCCTGTCACTGTACTGCTTGTGACGTCATGCCCTGGGTCTCGTCTTCTCCTGGCACACAGAGCCACTTGAAGATCCCTGGGAAGCCCCAGGGATATGCCCGTGCAGGAGCAGATTTTGTGATGTGCGGGGTGAGAAGGGACTGACTTCCTCTTTACACACTCTAGTGCTTGCACCTTTCTGTTGCTCCTGTCCTGTGTCACTGCATGGGAGCAGGAGAAATGATGGGGAGAGGGGGACTGGGAGGCTGCTAAGAGCTCTGATGTCTCTGACTTTGGGTGGTGGCTGTTGGGAGAGAGAACCAGGGCACAGAATGGCATGAGGAGGGGCTTCCTTGGCAGCCCTCAGACAGCCATGGTCACAAAGCCAGGAGGAAGGGACGCGGGGCCGGTGGGGCCAGCTGAGCCCCACTACCCTGCCAGGCTTGATGCCTCCCTCCCCAGCCTCCCACACACCCCCCAGCCAGTCAGGGGGATCACGTTCCACAAGGCATGCGGGGGCAGTGGGTCAGGATGGGCACCCATCAGAGAGGAGCTTTGGCTCTCAGGAGACCTTCTCATCCCAGCCCTCCCTCAGTGCTTCCCTTCCTCCCCTTTGAGAAGACACCAGGTTGTTTTGTATCACAAATGAGGGAATAACTGGGGCTGCCTGGGTGCCAGGATCTTACTGTGCTTTCTGTCTAATACTCATGCTCACAGAGGAGGAACTGAGGCTCAGAGGACAGGTGGCCCCACCAGGATAAATGTGGGTCCAAAACCCCCTCTGTGTGACTGCAAAGCCTGTGCCCTTTCCAGGGTCCCACACCTTGACCAGGGTAGCCAGACACCCCCAGTTGTAGACACAGAGTTTGGGTCACAATGGGGAGAGGCCAGGCCAGGGGCAAAGGGGCAGGTGATGGGAGGGTCACTGAGACTAAGTTCTTCAGTGCTATGGGTTAGTAATAAGAAATCATGTTCATATTTATATACTAATAGTTGAAAGCAATACTAGTTACTAACACTTCATGGTACTTAATAATGTGCTGGGCACTATACATATTAATTCCTTTCACTCCCACAATAACCCTGCAGGATGGGTACCATTGCCACCTCCATTTTACAGATGGAGGAAATAAGGCACAGGGAGGTTATACACCTTGCCCAACGTCACTCAGGCAGTAAGAGTAGAGCTGGGATTTAGAAGCCAGGTGGCCTGACTGCAGGCTTCCTGTTATGGTCACTATGTCACACCGCCTCTGTCGAAGCAGAGTGAGAGTCCTCAGTTGACCCCAGGAGCTTGGAGTCGGGACTCCCACAAGAACGGTTGCCCACAGAAGCAGGGCTGTGATGAATGGAAGTAAGGAGCCAGGCCACAGTGTCGTTTCATAAAGGACAGAGGGAGCGGTGAGGGCCAGGGATCCCAGAAGTCTTCCTGGAGGAGAGAAACAATCCAGGCTGTGAAGGACCATGTTGGTCTTCCTAACACATGGAGCAGATTGGATCTGAGCTTCTGGGCCAACTGGCCCGTGCCACCCTCCCTCTGGAGCCTTTGGGGGCCAACGGCTGGTGAGGACTACATCCTCAAGGGCTGTTGTCCCACCCTGAGGTACCCTTTGTGCACTGTGCCTCTCTCTCCGGGGCTCCCCCTGCTACAGGGTCTCTGGATGATTCCTCACCCTGTGATTGCTGCAGTTAATGTAGCAGCACCGTTTACAGCCCTAACATAATAACCTGTTCAATAGAAAAAGTATTAACTTTCACACTGAGCTATTTGATGGCTCTGGATCTCAGGGCATTTATCCCAGATACCTGTGGGGTGCACTGGGATACAGAGGGACCAAGCTCCCACCTCACCTTGAATAGCCTGGCCCTGAACAACCTACAAGGGCCAGAAAGCCCTCAACCTGCCCTGCCTCAGCTATGGGTGCCCAGCCCAGGGCCCTGCATACAGTGGGCACTTCAGAAGGCAGTAGCATGTGTGTATTTCATTGAAAAGGTTCAGAGCCTGGGCATCTGGGGAAGAAGCTGAGGAAAATGAAGATCAAGAGGAGAGGACAGCCAGGGGTCACTGCCCAGCCACTTTGCCCAAAGGCTTCCTCCTCCCCCTGACCAGAACCTAGAGAAGAGCGTCAGGAGGGGGAGTCTGTGCACACAGGCGCCTGCTGCAGAGCCCTCCTTGGCAAGGGGCAGGGAGTCAGACAGGCCAGGTGTCCACCCCACCCCATCCCTCCCTGTGCCTCTGTGTCCGAGTCTAAGTGAAGGCCTCAGCCGTGGCCAGCAAGACAATGTGGTCACCCGGGCAGGCAGGGCAGCCAAGGTGAGAGGCCTGCCATCCCTTGAGCCTAGGATGACATGTCTATGTGTGGGAGGAAGCGCTCCATGTTCTGTCCAGCTCTTGCTCAGATTTATGGACAGTGGGGTCTGGGAGGTGGGGCAAGCAGCAGGCGGGACCCTTCCCTCTGACTCATCCTGCCCCTCCCCTCCCCAGGAAAACCACATCTGAGGAAGCAAACAATCAGAGATCCAAGGCCATCACATCTGTGACCTCAGAGCCCACCAGAGCCCCCATCTGGGGGGACACAGTGAAAGTGGAAATCCAAGCTGAGGATGCGGGTCGAGAAGGTGAGGCTGGGGGCGGGGGGTTGTTGTGAACACAGACACACCAATGACTTAAGGCAGAAGCAGTCTCCCTCTTGGCTCAGCTGGAAGCCACCTGAACGCCTCCTTAGGCTCAGTTAAAAGCTCTTAAAAAAAAAATCATAATACTGTCACGCCTCATCTCCCCAGCCTGCTCGAAAAATGAGTTGTTCCACATAAATGAATTTTCCAGACAATGCAAGCTTATCTTTTTTATGACTGTTATTATTTTCATGGTTGTTATTACCACTGTCTCCCACAAAAATGGCACATTACAGCTTCCTAGCATGTCCCCACGCATCGCTTGTTGGAGTCACCACCTCCCAGGAGGAGCCACGCTGCTCCCATCGCTTAGAAGACAACACAGTTCAGGGAATTTAAATATCTGGCTCAAGCTCAAGTACGCAGTAAGCAGAGGACCTAGGACTCAGCATTACTTGTTCTTACTGTAGCTCCAGTGTTCCAGCTGCTTCAAATTGATTTTTTTAAAAATTTTAATGTCCCTAAAATGGATCCTTATCCTTGCCTAGTCCTCCTGGGTCTCAGACCGAGCCACCAGGTCACCTGCGTATACACAAGCATGTGCACACTTGTATTTCCATGCTGTGGGCCTGTCTGATTTCAACTCTTGGGAGAGAGCCCAGGTTGGACATACAGGAATACTGACTGGCTGATGCCAAGACTGCTGTGGGACACTGGCTTCAGGCACCATCAGCACAGACGAGAGGTGCCCAGAGATGTCCCTGGTCTTTGATAGTCAGTGGAACCTCAGGCTACCTTCCTGCAGGCAGTCTCTCCTTGAGAAGACAGGCTTCACCTCTCCCCTTGAACTCTTGCCAGGGACTTAGAACTCCTTGTTTGCCTCACAAAGAGCAAAAAGCTGCTGCTGAAGACTGTGGAAGGGGAGAGAGGACAGGGGAGAGAGGAAACGGGAGAGAGGGGAGCCTCCATAAAAGGGGAAGAAGCTAGTTGTAGGTCAAGCCAGAGAATTTTTTTCTGCCTGTGAAGAGATAGGTGGAAGTGTTAGGATAGTTTGAGAAGGTGCAAAAGAGGAGGAAAAATTTACCGAGGATTTCTTGCAGATGCACATGTGTGCCTGTGTGTGCATGTCTTTGTGAATGCCTGCATGCTGGTTTGTGTGTATGTGTGAACGTGTGTGTGAGTACAGGCTGTGTCTGTACCTGTAGGCATACGTGTCTTTGTGTATTGTATGTGTGTATGCATGGGTGTGTCTGGCTGCAACAGTGTGTTGTGTGTGTGTCTAGATGTGCCTGAATGGTGGTGTGCACCTGGTGGTGCATGAGTGTATAATGTGTGTGTGTGTGTGTGTGTGTGTGTGTGTGTGTGCATTTATGTGGCTGGCAGGAAGTTGGGGGTTGTGGGGAGGTGACCTGGTCTGAGGTCCTGCCCTGGGCTCTCCACACCTGGGGGATATAGGGAAGGGTGTGATGGGGTTAATGGCCCTGGGGCCCATCTGTGCAGCAGAGAGGGGGCAGGAAAACTGCAGGAGGGACAGGAGGGTGAGGAGGCTGCATGGGCAGGCAGGGAATATTGGCAGGCAACTCGCTGCAAATTGAAGTGGCTGGATGCTTGTTGGAACCTGGTTGGAACCGGTTGCTGTGGTGATGTCTGTGGTGGGTGTGGGGGAGGTGGGGGCCAAGCCAAGAGGCAGGGGGAAGGCTGGGAGAAAGCTCAAGGATGTGTTAATGAAAAGCAAAGGGGAGTTTCAGACCCTGTGTCAGGGCCAAAGCAGGTGGGTGCAGAAACGGCTTGTTGGCCACACAAAGGGAACAGTAGGAGGCAGGGAGGGCACAGTGCCCAGAGAGGAAGCTGATGAAGCGTGTTTGTAGCATGGAGACAGGAGCAGGGAGGAATGACTGTCCATTCCCCCCAATTACAGCTCAGCTGCTGGCTGCCCACGTAGAGCTCCAGGGACGGGGGTGGGGAAAATGCAGGGACTCACCTTCTGCTGCTCAGCCTCAGCAAATCCCAACCAGGTTTGGGAACTCAGGGCCCATGAGGAGTGGGCATGAGGGGCTACAGCCTCCACAGCTACTGTTGTGGCTTTGGCTGAGAGCACTGGAATCCCCCAGCTGAGTTTTCTTGGGTCTGCTCAGGGCTGGGTTAGTGTATGGAGAGCTACAGATGGTTATTGAGGAAGAAAATAGTGACAGACATGAGGAGCATTTGCACAGAATTTTATGGCTTGAAAAACACACCTCCATCAACAATCCTAGGAGAGGGACAGGGTTTTTCTTTTTCAAAGTATTGACACATTGCAGAACAGGAACTTTATGCTCAGAGAGGTTAAGTGACTTGCTAAAGGTTACAGAGCAAGCTAGTGTCTTGGTACTAGAACTCAGGTCTGCTGACTTCAAATGCCTGGCCTTACTTTACTTGCTTCAAGTCAACCTCAAGACCTTTGGTGCTCTTTTGCCCTTATTTCCTTTGAGCATGGATCCCATTGGCCAGCTCTTGAGAGACCATAGCAAGCCTTTTCCTCTCTTAACCTCTGTGTTCAGGGTAGGTGTGGGGAAGAGAGAGAAAGGAAGAAGAGTTAGCAAAGCCCTCAGCTTCCTTCTGTACTTCCACATCTAAGTGACTCCTCCAGCTCCAAGTGACCCAGCTGCTGATCTTGAGCTCAGCACTGGACCCCAGCCTGCTGAGCTTTCAACGGCCAGCAGCTGTCCCTGGTGCTGAAATGGTCTTGTCTCAAGAAGAGAGGCAGAGGACAAGAGCTCCCCAAAGGTCTCCCTCAGGCCCACCCCTCCACTCCCATCGGCCTTTCCATTCTTCTCTAGATCTCTTATCTCTGTCCTTTCTCTATGTCCCTCATTCCTCCTCCATCCCTCCCCCATCCTTCTCTTCCTTTCCTTCTCCCCCATCTCTTCTTCCTCCTCAAATCATTTCTGGAATGGAAAGATGCCTCGAAGGTCTCCAAATCAAGCCTCTCCCATCATCCATTTCCTCACTGTGTGATATGGATCGAGTTATATAACTTGGTGCTCACTAAGGTGCTTACAAAGTAGGACCACCACGGTTATTCCAGGACATTGGTGTTATTCTTAACGTTCGTCCCAAAGTTCATGCCATTTTATGACAAAATGTAGTCTCTTTGGAGGGTGTTTACTAAGTGGTGCATTATTCTTAAAGTTTAGACTAGTTTTCATTTACTTGTAGTAGTCTTTTATTGATGGTTGCATTGAAGGATTTCTTGAGCATATCACTTTTCCTTTCTGAACCTCAGTTTCCCTTCCTATAACATGTGAAAGATAATCCCTCCCCATCTTGCCTGAGAAGCTGGTGAGAGTGTTTGTGACCAGGAGAATGGGCTTCTTCCTGGAAAGTGGTACTATTCCTGCTTACCTATGTACCTCTTTGCATGCACATGTGTGTCCATTGCCACAGAGCTGGGATCACTTCTGAGTGTGTCTATCCCTGGACTAGGAGTTTCTGGACCACAGCAGACAATTGCACTTTGGGGCCCTAACAGCACATGGCATGGAGCCTTGCCCTGTGCAGGAGCTCAGACAGTGCTTGTGTGCACATGTATGTTCCACATCTGTGCCTGTGTGCTGATTCCTCAATGTGGCCCCTGCTCCCTGCTCTCAGCAATGTCTCTTACCTCTCACTGTCTCATTTCACTGGGAGGAAAAGTGGTCAGCTAAGCCCTGTGCTCATTTTTTCTCTCCCCAGATGTGGTCCTCAAGGTGGTAGACAACAAACAGAAAGAGGAGCTGTTGTCCTACAAAATCCCTATCAAATACCTGCGTATCTTCCACCCCTACCACTTTGAGCTGGTGAAGGTGGGTCAGAGCCCTGGGCCCTGGGCCCACATGGGCCTGGGACAGGTGGGGGGAGAGCTGGAGGGAGAAACCTTGATGCTGCCAGCTATCCCTTCAGAGCAGCCCTGGGCGTGTAATGCCCATCTCATGTCTTGACAAGTCTGGGACTATGTGGGGCTCAGGAAGCATAACTCCTGGCAAGTAGATAGGAATGATGTCCATAAGAATTTGGAATTCTCCAAATTCATCTCCATAAAGCAACCCAATTTGTATAAAATAACTACTACATTACATGAATACACCAATTAAAGTTGTATTCTGATTTCATAAATGTTAAAAGAGGGGGAGTGGATCTGAAAATCAAAGAAATATAGTATATACAGAGTACCTCCTGTGTTCCAAGCCCTGTGCTAAGCACTTCGCACACCATCTCTAATCCTCAAGGTTAATTACATTTTGCATACATGGGACTGGGACTTGGAGTGGAATCCTCTTATCCTGGGTCACAGAGCAAGAGAGCAAGCAAGTGTCAGAGTCGAGGTTGAGCCTGGGTGGTGCTGTTGCCCAAGCCAGTTCTTTCTGTGCTGCCTCCACATGCTGCTGTGGCAGGAGGAAGGCCAGGAGAGCTGGGGGGGGGCAATGAAACATTCCCTGGGATGCACCCTTCTAGTGGGCAACCAGGCATGAGCCTCAGGGCCCCTCTGTCCACGGCCTGGGTGTCCCAGTCCAGCCCCCCTCCCACCCCCCTGTAAGTGCTGATTGGTAGAAGGGAAAATTCATTCTCTGATTGCTTAAGTACTTGTAAAGCACCTACTATGTTACAGGCACTGGGCCAGAGATGAGCAGAAGCATCACCTTCCCCTCCCTTAGTGTGCACTCCAGACCCCTGCTGTGGCTTAGAGTAAAGAACAATGCAAAGCCAGAGTGTCTGGCTTCCTATCTCAGGTCTGCAGCTTACCAGCTGGATACCCATAGGAAGCCACCACTTAACCCCGAGGCCTCCATTCCACATCAGCAAAGTGGAGACAGGATGCCTCCTGGCGTGGTCATTTGGAGGATCCAACACAATGATGGACAAGGAGCCTGGCATATAGTAGATGTTCAATTCAAGTTAGTTCTCCTCCCCTCTCCCTCTTCCAGAACCCAGCACTGACATTTCCAAGCAACTCTTCAACCATGTCCTCAGGGATCTTTACCTTTCCTTAGGCCCCAGAGAAACTCCAACCCCAGGGCTTCAGGATGAGGCACCAGAGTGGCAGGGAAGCAAAGGCCCAGAGAGATGGTGACTCGCCTGGGGAGACTCAGCACTTGAGATACAGTTCTGAGAGCATTGCCTGAGCCCCCTGGCTCTCCATCCACTTGCAACCCAGGCCTTGTTATCACATCTTTACCAAGAGAGCAGGCAGGCAATGGTCCTTGTGAGGGTGATGAAATATCCAAATAGAAAAGGGAAGATTTATTGTATTGATCTCCTTGGAAGGGCTCACAGGGACCATGAGCTTTAATTATCAGCTCAGAGCCCCGGTGGAGCGATGCCCAGTGATTGTAGAGGGCTGGATTTATGGCCAGCGTCTACCCCTTAGACACTCTCCTTCTGTGTGTCTTCTTCCCCCACTTTGTCTCCAGCCCACCCAGTCTGGGAAAGACAAGGAAGCCACTTCCAACACCCAACTGTATGCCACAGTCATTAGAAAGACCAGCTTCATTCCCCGCTACATTGGCTGCAACCACACAGCTCTGGAGGTACCGGGGCTGGGGCCTTCTGGGGTGGCAGGTGGGGTGGGAAGGTGCCAAGTTTTGAGCAGGCTCCAGGCTCTGTGCTTGGCCACGTCTGCTGGCCTGAGGGCATGGAGCAGCACTGTTAAGAATAGAAAAAGCAACCAGGCCTTTCCAAAATTGCCCAAGTAGTTTGTGAAGACAAGCCCTGATTTGGCAGGAATGATGAGGATGAAGACGTCCTTTCCTCTCCTTCCCTCTTTGTCCTTGGAAGTGAGAGAAGGGGGGCTTAGCCACAGCATTGCTCCCATGTACCAGCCCTGTGCTGCAGGGAGAATGGGAGCCTCCCATAGCCTCATGTCTCTGAATATCATAGAGGCAAGCAGCCCTGTGTTCCCCACCTCAGCCGACAGTCCCCGGCTGTTTTGTTCTCTTCTTCCCCTCCCGGGGTGGTGACTAGTGCCTGGGCCTCCAAGAAAAATTTCAGGGCCTCCCCAGCCCTTCCTATAGTACTGTTTCTAAAGAGGTCTGGCTGGTCTTCTGATAAGGTATTCATTCATTCATTCATTCATTCGACAGCTATTTACAGAACCTCTTCCATTAGCCAGGCCAGAGCTGGGCCCACCTTGGACCTCGCCACCATGCCTTGACCCATCGCCTTCCACCCCTAGGCCATTCAGCAGCCTCAGGAGGAGCTGTTAGTGCTCAAGGCAAACTTGCTCCAGGGACCCTTCCCCCAGCCTTCAAGTTACCTGTGGGTGACAAATTCATATACAGCCATGGCCTGGGTATGATCAAGGTGGAAGCTATGGGACACAAGCTCTGGGCTTCCCCTACCCCACATGGCTGATCTGATCCCCCAACCCCACCCACGGCACTGTGAGGCTGGCAGGGCAAAAACTGTTCTTTAGCCCCATTTCACAGCTGGGGACACGGAGATCCAAAGGGAGTCTAGTATGGGAGCCAGAGCCCCTGACCCACATCTGTGTTTCCCCACAGCCACCCCTGGGATGCCATCATGTGTCAGACCTACAGGCACTCTCTCTTCCTTTGTCTCCCCTCTCTTCTATCATGCCCTGTTCTGAGGACAGCCAGCTTCTCACACATGTATGAAATAAGAAAGAGCGGCAACAGCTTGGCTTTGCTGTCTCCAGGCTGTACCCCACACCCCCTCGGGTCTGCAGGGATCTTATGGGGATCTGCCCCCAACCCCCTGCAAGCCTCCTGACTTGCCTGGTAGAGTTTGGGCCTCTCTGGCCCCCAGCACCCTGCCCCCTCCCTGCCCCAGCACAGATGCCCTCCCTGTCTGTGCGACAGGTCAGGTACAGCCACATGAGCAGCTGTCTGCTCCTGATGGCAGACTGGAGGGCAGAGCAGAAGAAATTGCCTCTGTTACTCACCAGGCTGTCATGAGCAGGTGTGCTTGGGCAGCATCTCATTCACACCTGACCAGAGTCAGCACAGCACAGGTGTAAATCAGGTGTAAATCAGCCCCTGCCCCCCAGCCCCTGCCCCTGATGCTCCTCTTAGCCCTTACACCTGTCGGAGTGTATTGCTCTGTGAACGATAGGGCCTGACAGCTCTCCAGTGAAATGCCACCATCAGAGACTCAGTCCTTTGAATATGGTGAAGGGATTTAGTCTCTGGAGGCCCCAGTGGGAGCTGAAAGGCCCTAAAAACTATTTTAAGTGCTTATCAGCTCATCCCTATGTGGAGTTAGCTGGAAACCAGCTGAGATAGTTCCTGGCAGACAGGCCTGAGGGAAGGGTGTAAGGTAGAGAAGAAAAGGAGAAGGATCCAGAACAAGCCTCATTCCTGGTCCTCTCCTCCTATTGAAGGTCAGAGCTAGAAGGACCAGGCAGATTATGGTCTAACCCCTGAGTGTACGAGTTGGGAAACTGAAGCCCAGAATGAAGCAGAGACCAGCCATGGTGACCTCACTAAAGTGAGAGGCTGAGCTGGAGCAGACCTGGTGGGGGTCTCTTCCAGTCCCAAGGCGTGCCTGAGGCATGGCCCCTCCGCTGTGTCCACAGCCCCTTCATTCGTTCAACAGCTATTTATAGAACCTCTTGAATTAACCAGGCCCAAGCCACCATCCCTTGACCTTCCACCCCTAGGCCTTTCGGAGGCCTCAGGAGGAACTGTTGAGCTGTAGAACTCTCTTCCTGCTTGTCTTCCCATCAGCACCAGGTAATCAGGATCCCCACCCATCCCCCTAGACCGGCTCAGCCCCGGGCCCTCCCAGGGGTCACTGCCTGTCTCCTGCCCTTTCTCCCTCCCAGGTCTCTATATTTCTGTCTCTCTTTCACACCCTTAAAGAGAGTCAACCTCTCTCTCCCCTGCTCTCCCCTTTTCTCCCTTATTAATATGACACTCACTTATCCCACAAACACATATCGAGCTCCTACTCTGTGCCAGGCACTTCTGCTAAACGCTGAGAATACAACAATGAATGAGACGGACATGGTTCCTGCCCCTGTGGAGTTTGGCTTCTAGTCAAATAGACAGACAAAAAATAAAAAATAAATTAGAATAAACACAAGCCATGATGAGTTGGTGGGGGGTGGGGGAGAAACCAGGCAGAGGGGTCAGCACATGCAAAGACCCTGAGGGAGAAACACACGGAACATACTGGAAGAGTGAGAGAAAAGGAAGCCAGAGCAAAAAGAGGGGGCTGGGGGTGGCAGGAGATGTGGGCATGGGCAGACAGGCCAACACGTGCAGGCCTTGGCAACCATGGCGAGAACTAGGGAATTTACTCTAAGGGCAGTGGGGGCCATGGCAGGGTTTCAAGCAGGAGGGACATGATCCCATTCATCTTTAAGAAGACAATTTCTTCCACTGTGGGTCAAATTGCCTGGGAAAGGGGGTGGGTTAGAGGCAGGGTAGGAAGTGGAGAGGCCAGGGAGGGGGCAGCGAAGTAAAGGAGCAACAGTTATGCCAGCCGTGGTGAAAGGTGGGGTCAGGGCTGAGGGGCATATGGGAGGCCACTGGTGGGTGAGGGGTGAGGGCCCGGGGCCAGAAGATCAGGGCTCTTGGGATGGCTGTGCAGGTGGGGGGCTGGAATCCCTGTCTTGTCCCTCTGCCTCCCCATGCCTCATCCAGGCCCAGACTGAGCAGGTGGTCAGGGAGGGATGCAGCAAAGCTTTTGCCCACCCCGGCCCCTGGGGATGCTGCCCACTTCTCCTGCTCTGTTGTCTCCCACTGAGAGCCCTGCTCTGCCCTCTGAAAGCTGTGCTAATAGAAGTTGGGAAGAGGAGATGGCAGTCAGGGCCGGGGTGCAGGGAGGCCCTTAGGAGGCAGCAGAGGACAGAGGAGACCATCAGAGAGTGGTGGGGGGATTTAATGAAGAAAGAGGAGCCCATAGATGGTGGTGGGGATTCTGTTCCAAATCAGCACTTGCTAGGAAAGCCCTGCAGTGAGCAGGCACCAGGGGGGTCCAGGGAGGCCTGGCTGTGCCCTCCGACCTCAGGAAGCTTCATGTGGTTGAGAAACCAGACCGTGGCTCGGTGTCCTCAGCGTACAAAGTGCTCTCTCACAAATAGTCTAATTAGAGACCCCTAGCCAGCCTAGGAGGGGTCAGGAGTTTTTGCCCCCTTCAATTGAAAGAAACTGAGAGGAGCTAGAACACCAAGCCCTAACCCTAATCCCCCCAGGAGCCAGTGGAGGAGCCAGGGCTAGAACACAACTCTCCACCTCCCGCCCAGGTCCGGATTCTTATGCCACACCTCTCCCCTCGGGAAGCTGATGTGAGATCCACTACTGAGTCCCAGGATGGAAAGCCAGGGCAGTTGCCTCAGCTAGACACAGAAGGCTTCCTGAAGGAGGGCAGCCGTGAGCAAAGCAAGAGCCCAGTGGGGCGGGGAGCAGGTGCAGAGGCGTGCAGGCAGCCCTGAGCCCATGGGTGGCGGAGAAGGATGGCGGGCAGCTGGCCGTGTCTCTGAGAGGGCCCAAGGCCACACAGGGCTCACCTGCCTCTTCTCTTCCACAGGTCTTTCTCCGGGGAGTCAACGAGCCCCTGGTCAACAATCACAACCCCATGGTGGTGATTGCCCGGGTGGTTCCCAACTATAAGGAATTTAAGTGAGTGGGGCCTAGGTGGGCGTGGGTAAGGAGGGAGTGGGGGCAGAGGACAGAGGGTGGGGAGAGGCTGTCATCACCACCACAGGCTGATTCCAGGAGCTCTAGAACCCTCCCCTCCCCCAAAGACCCTTCAAACCTCCCCACTGGGTCTGAGGTCCCAGTAAACTTCCCACAGCAGACCGTGCCTTTCTTGCCCCAGGGAGAACTCTGGCCCCTGGAAAGGGGCAGCTCAGACCTCTCCTGAGAGCAGGCTGGTGTGTGTGTATTGAGGGGGTGCCTACATCAGTCCTGAAGAGCTGGAGGGGGAGTCCCTCCAAACCTGCCTCCCCACCTCATGCTTACTACCTCCACACTTCCCCTCCACTCTAGCTCAGGCCCACAGGCTCCAGACAGTGATTGTCCCCAAAGGAGGCAGCCTGAGGACCATCTTGGAACTTCATGACCTTTAGCCCTGCCTGGGTGTCCCCTCACTCACATTCCTGGAGGTTTCCATGACCCAGTCCCAAATGGCCTCCTCCTCCCCCAGATTTCCTTTTGAGTTTGTTGAATTCAGACTATTTGGGCCACTGGAGGCCACACGGTGGGGAAGTTCCCCAGGGAACTTGTGCTCTCTATGACAGCACCAACTCCTGAGGATCAGGTGTCAGCCTCTGTCACTGCCACTGGCTCTCATGGTTTTAGAGGACCCTCTGACTCATCTGCACCACCTGCTGAGCTTCCATGACCTATGTACCCCCTTTGTTTGTGGAGGAACAAAGTGGGCTGATGCACCTCCAGCCCAGTGAGCTTAGCGCACACATGCGCACATACACACACACCACACACATCACACACCACACACATCACACAACACACACACATCACACACCACACACACACCATACACACAACACACGCACTCACCACACACACACACCACACACACACCACACCGCACACACACACCATACATACCACACCGCACACACCACACACACACCATACATACCACACGCACACACCACATGCACACACACCACAGTAACACATACACACCACACGCACACACCACATGCACACACACCACAGTAACACATACACACCACACGCACACACCACACACACACCACACACACACACACACACCACACGTACATCACACACCACACACACATCACACACACACCACACACACTCACACACCACACACACACACACACACACACACACCACACACACACACCACAGTAACACATACACACCACACGTGCACACCACACACACACCCCACACGCACACCCACACGCATGCTGAATCCTGCCCTGCTCTCTCTCCATGCCCCTACACCTAAATCCAGACTCCCGCCACAGGGGTGGGCCATTCTGTCAAGGTCTCCCAAAGGTGAGGCAGGGAATGCAAGGCGCATTTTAAAGATGGGGCAGCTGAAGAATTCAGAGGCAGCCAAGGCCACAGCAAGTTGCAGATGAGGGAGCCCAGTAGCTATAGCCTTTCTTCTGATCAAGGTGAGCTTTCCCAAGAAGGACCAAGGTCTACCATCTATATCATGAGATCCTGGCCCGAACTAGACGGGCCACTGCCCTCTCTTCCTCTCTCGTTTTAGTCCAGAGTCAAAGTGGGAGCCCTGGGCTGCCAGGTGAGGCACAGAGCCGAGTGTGAAACCGTGTCCTTGCCTCCCTAGGGTCAGCCAGGTAAACAGGGACCTAGCCTCCGTGGGGCTGCCCATCACCCCACTGTCCTTCCCTATCCCATCCATGATGAACTTTGACGTGCCTCGGCTCAGCCAGAACGGGTGCCCTCAGGTATGGCTCCGTCCCCTGTTCACTTCTGGTAACTCCCCGCATGGTCATCACCTATTTGCTCAGTTAGCCAGTGGTCACGTGACTACTGACTCAGAGATTCCTGAATCCCGCCACATACCCGTGCTTGTCAGCACTATGGAGAAGCTGCCCTCAGGGAACTGTTGGTCTGGTGGAGACAGGAGTCACACATGTGAAATGTTAAACCAACACAGATCGTGTATAATCTAATAACAAGCCAGGAGGGACTATCAGAGCTATAAAAATCAGAGGACAGAAGACACAAAAGGACAAACACTGTGTGACTCCACTTACATGGGGCACTTTGAATAGGTAAATTCATAGAGACAGAGGGCCGGCCTGGTGGCGCACTGCTACAGTGCGCCGCTTGGGAGCACGGTGGCGCTCCCGCCGAGGGTTCGGATCCCACATACAGACCGGTTCCCGCTCACTGGCTGAGCGAGGCACGGGAGCAACACCGAGGGTTGCGATCCCATTGCCAGTCCCGGTCCGGTACGGGCGTGACACTGAGGGTTGCGATCCGTTACCGGACACGAAAAAAGACAAAAAGGAAAAAAAAAAATTCATAGAGACAGAAAGTAGAAAAATGGTTACCAAGGGCAGGGGAGCTGGGGGAATGGAGAGTTCCTGTTTCACAGGTACAGAGTTTCTGTTTGGGGTGATGAAAAAGTTCTGGAAATAGTGGTGATGGTTGCACAGCGATGTGAATGAGCTTAACACCACTGAACTGTACACTTACAAATGGTTAAGATAACTTTTATGTTACATGTATTTTACCACAATAGATCATTTTTTTAAAAAATCAAAGGAGAGATACATGAAGCCTGGGTGATTAGGGAGGGCAGTCTTGAATTTTTTTTTTTTCCTTTTTGTCTTTTTTACTGACCGGTAACGGGATCGCAACCCTCGGTGTCGCGCCTGTACCGGGGATGGGCAACAGGATCGCAACCCTCGGTGTTGCACCCGCACCACGCTCAGCCAGTGAGCGGGAACCGGTCTCCACATGGGATCCGAACCCTCGGCGGGAGCGCCACCGCACTCCCAAGCGGCGCGCACTCCATTGCGCCACCGGGCTGGCCCGGCAGTCTTGAATTTTTGATAGGGGGAAGGTTGGTGCAGGGCAACTGAGAGCAGCAAGATCTCAAGCATGATGCGGGACATGACACAGGTCAGGGCAGAGGAGGGCAGTGTGGTCAAGTATGCTGGGCAGGGGGTGTCCAGATCAAGGCCGGCTCCAGGGGCATGGCCAGGGTGCTCTCTTCCCATAGTCTGCACTTCAGTGTGAGCTTGCCCCACAAGATGGTCCCAACATTCTTAGGGGCCTTGGAGGACAGGTGGTTTCTCAGAGATCCCCCCTGTTGTCTGCCCACCAATGCCCATATCTGGCATGGCAAAAATAGAATAAGACACCCCTTCAAAGTCCCAGCCTTCATTTAAAGGCAAAGACATTTGAAGAAGGCTCAGACATGGGCAAGAGAGATGGTGGCAGGGAAGGGTGGGGTGAAGGGGGACCCTGGAGACAGAAGCTTCAAACCCAAACCAATCCTCAGCCTGATTTCCCCAGAGTCATCTCACACATGGCCCTGCATTTGCCCAGAAAATTATGAACCAATCAGCAGGCTGTCCCGAGGGGCAGGAGGCGCTGCTGCTCTAATGAGTGAGCCCCTCCCTCCCTGGGCCCTCTCTGGCTGCCTTGGCTGCCTAACTCATCTGGGTGGAGGAGGTGCCCTCACCACAGACACTTGTCTCTAATGCCTTTGGCACGTGCGAGACTTGAGGCCAGCCATCCAGTGATGGCATCCACTGCTGAAGGTCACCCGTTGTTGAAAGTCACCCAGCACCATGGCAGCTAGGCCAGGCTGAAAACTCACTGGCAGCTGGCACAGTGATGCCCAGGTGAGAGAACAGGAGTGGGCTGCTGTGATGGTGGGGGGCTGGAGTGGGCAGAGCCCTACCTGGAAGGGGCACCAGTCAGCATCTCTGGGCTCAAAGCTCACACAGACCCCTGCCCTGTCCCCTCTTAGCTTTGTTTCCCTCGTCTCTACAGTCATGGGGGTGGGGATTGGATTAGGTCATTTCTAGGGCTGCCCTCTCTGACATCATGGGGTGCTGTGATTTCTTTTCCACTAGCTGCCACCATGCCAAAGCACTGTGGCCAGAGGTTGGAGAGTCCAGCAGATCTGGGTTTGACCCCACCTCTGTGACTTGCTAGCTGCGTGACTTTGGCAAGCTGCTTGGTGTCTCCAGACCTACTGATTCCTACCTTACTGGGCTGCTAAGAGAACTTAAACAATAACCTTTGCAAAGCGTCCAAGCCCAGGGTCCCTTTCAGAGCTGCACCTCCCCTAGTGCCAAATGCTCCCTCTGAGGCCAGACTCACCACTGCCTTTGCTACATTTGGCTCCAAGTAACAGAAACCCCCGACTTGGATCGACTTAAAAGTAAAGATATTTATTGTTACACATCACAAGAAATCCTGACATAGAATTTTTCAGAATTGGTTGATGGCCGGCTCAGCAGCGTCCTCAAGGTCTTAGGATCTTTCCATCACCCCCGGATTGCCATCTTCAGCTGGCTAATAAATCGTGGGAGCAAAGAGTTCCTGGCACCCCACCCAGATACACCACAGACCTGGGAAAGAGGGAAGCTTCTTCTACTTAGGTGTGGTTTTTATGAAGAACTGGAAACCAACCCCACCCAGCAACCCCTTCCTCCCCTCTCCTCTCATTGGCCCGAATTGGGTCGCATGCACTTCCCTGAGCCAATCACTGAGGATTGTGATTGAGGGGTGTGGCTTATCCCTGCCAATAGCTGATGTGGACAGGTGTGGAGGCGGGGCCACCTGGACAAAAGGGCCACCTATTGGTTATGAGGAAGGGAGAGGCTAGCGGCCCTCAGCGTTGCCTCACCCCTCTGGGAGGGGATGCTGATGGCGAACCCTGAGCTCTGATGGGTTAAGGGGTAGGGGGTGGTCAGGCTTGACGTGGCCCAGCCTGCTGGACACAGCCTTAAGGGAGGACATGGGAGTCACTGCTACCCCGTACTCCACCCTTTGAAGGGGACCGTTGCCCAGTAGGCTGCTTCTGCTGTCCTGGCCTCTACAGAGCCGGGAGGAGCTCCCAGGAGCAGACACAGCAGAGGTGAAGAAGTCGTCTGTCCACAGTCATCCCCTCCCACCTCGGCGCCAGTCTGTCCCCAGGCTCTCACGGGCCTCTTTCCATCCCCGCAGACCCTGCTCCAGTGCTGGCCTCCTCTCTTGCCTGGAACACTGCAATAGCCCCCCTCGGGCCCCTCCCATCAGTCCTCTGAGAAGAAGCGAGGGTGTCCCCTGCCCTGGGCAAGGCCTTCACCCTGGACTCTTCGAAGGCCCACTCTCAGCCAGGTCCACAAGGCCCGGTCCCCTCAGCCTCCTGCTCACTGCTCCAGTTCACACCAGCCTTCTCCACCCCCCCGGAGACTCACTGTCCCCTCACCCAGGCTGTCCTCTCTCCCCTCCGCCCCACGCCCCTGCTGTACTCTCAGCCTGGAATGGCCCCCTTTTCCTTCCCTACTGCCCTCATCCCTCAGGTCTTCCCTTCCCCAGGCAGAAGTCCTGGCTCTTCCTCAGACATCCCAGCTCCCACAATCACAACTTGCGCAGGCCTCTTGTAGATCATAGGGGTGTGTGTGTGTGTGTGTGTGTGTGTGTGTGTGTGTGTGTGTGTTTCCTATCCCCCTGGAAGAAAGTGAGCTCTAGGTGGGGGAGGCTCTGGCTGTAGCTCCCCCATACACCCTGCAGCACCCCACAGGTGTCTGGCATGGAAAAGTCCCCAGTCCACACTTACTGAGTTTGGTTGAATTGAACTTTCACCTCAATAGCAAAATATCCGTTGTCCTCTTTGACCTCATAAAAAGCTTTCAAGGTGTGGAGCACAAGGCATTTTCCCATTGGATAATGAGAAAATCAGGCCCCAGAGAGGGGAGGGCAGTTGCCAAAGGTCACACAGCAAGACTGAGGCAGGCTCAGGCGCAGAGCCAAGGGGTCCTTGCTCCCTGGAGGCCCCACCTCAGCATCAGCTACCAGAACTACCCTTCCCAGGATGGCGGCCACTATGCCTGGGCAGAGCAGGCAGTGGTGGGGATGGGGGGGGCAGGGGAAATGGGAGGAGGAGGGGTGTGGGCCCATGGAATGAAGCCTGTGTCCCCAGGGAAGGCAGGTCTGCCTCAGTGGCAGGGGGTTAATGGCTTTCCTGAAGATCACAGCTGAGGGTTAATCACATTCCTTAATTCCACAGCCCACCATGGCCTTTCCCATTAGCATCTGCAGGCAAAGTCTACACCTCACCCTACCCCCACCCTGCACACATCAGCCACCAGCACCTCCACCAGGGCCCTAGCATCAGACCCAGCAGGTCATTTAGTTTTGAGTCCTCCCCACCTCACACACACACACAAGGGAAGCTGACCCTCCCTCCCCAATTCTAGGTCTGAAGGGATCTTTTCTGAACGCTTACCCTGGGAAACCATTCAGAGAAGGGGCTGTACCTCACTGGCCAGGCAGCCACTCAACGCCTTTCACTCTGTAGATCCCATTTAGACATATTAATAGGTCCCAGAGAGGACAGCTAGCATCCATTAAATAACCCTCTTCCAGGGTGGGAGCACGGCATGGGGCAGCAGGGGACTGAGTTACAGCTCCTCCCTGAGCACCTCAGTGCCTGGCAGATGGTCCAGGCCATGTGGACCTTCAGTGCCCAGGAGAATGGGGTGGCTCTGGGAGGGGCATGGTTTGGGAAAAATCATTCCCAAGCCTCAAGGAACTTCTCTGGCCTGGCCTGGTGGCCAAATGGCTGTCCCCAAGCTCCCACCAGGACTGTCTCAGGGACACTCCATCACCCCAGTCACTGTTCCAGTGTTCAGGCCCCCTGGCTCTGAAGTGACCGCAACCCATCTCCTCAGAGGCAGGGCCAGACATGGCTGAGCCTGGGAAAACTGGAGCAGGCACATTAGCGTGACAAGCATCAGGGTTCTGCCACCACGGGGGGAGTGGACCCACACTGATATTCCACCATCTTGCATCAATAACTCCTGGAGCTGGCGGTGCATTAGTGCTGACCTTTTCGAGTGATGACTGATTCCCGCAGGGCAGCAAGAGGTGGGAGTGGCTGCCACTGTTGCTGACAGCCCCTGGCTGGGGGCAGAGGAAAGGTAGCCACTTGCAGAGTCTGTGCTGATGGGCCGCAGCCCTCCCTGTGCTGGGATTGCGCAGGGCTGCCTGCTGGCAGTTTCGGGCTGGCACCCCATCTCCCATCTCCCCACCTTCCAGCCTTTGCAGATGCTGGGCCTCCCCCTGGAGTCCCTCCTCATTCCAAGCATCTTCTGCAAATGCCGCCTCCACATTTTTGCTTGTGATGTTTTCCCACCCAGCAGACCTCCCTCCCTTTACCCGCTCAAATCTTCCCTCGGAGTCTTCCTCTGGTCCTGCTTCCTTCAAGGTGGCTATTCTGATCACCCATGGGAATGTGTCCTATAGTCCCCTTATTTGGGGCTATAGTTAATGCTGTCTTGCTTCATTGTTTAAATCAAACCCATGTGTGTGTCCCAACTGCTGGCTTAGTGTGACATCAATTCCCCCGAGTGCCGATGGCCCACACCACAGACACACCAAGGCTTCAGAATCTGAAGACCTGTCGTGGCCTTCTGCAAGGGGCTGGTGACAAGGGTAGAGGTCATGTCTAATTTGGCATCTATGACACCACCAGCCACGGATGTGAGCATTGGCACAACACTTTAGGAAAACAATAGTTTACCAATAGTGAGTCAAGTGCCTTAACGTATGCATGTCCTTTAACTCAGCAATTCCTTTTTAGGTATTTGTACTAAGGAAATGATTTGAGATACAAAGGTATGTGGCAAAGAATGTTCAGTGCAGTGTCATTACAGGAAAGAAATGGAAAGGGAAAGACCAGGGCACTTGGATGTAACAGAATATCCTGAAGTTACTAAAGTCATGGGTAACAAATGTTCCTTGTGACTCTGGGTATGCTTAGGTTTTAATGGTAAATGAAAAAGACAGGATGCATGAATGGCAATTTCATAAAAAATATGCATAGAAAAAGCTAGAAACACAGTTTTGTGAATGATTGTCTTTAATGTAGGAACATGGGGTTTTTTTCCTCTCTCCTTTCTTGTTTCTGTATTTTCCAAAATTTATTCAATAAGTGTGTGTTGCTTCTATAATTGGGATAAACATGTGTGACATATATAGACACACACACAACCAAGTATCTGAGCATGCTCACCACGTGCTCCCACCCTCTCTGCCCAGCTGTCCAAGCCTGGGGGACCCCCAGAGCTGCCTGTATGGAATCAATCCTTCCTCTTCCAAGGCCGAGATGGAGCCACGAACTTCTCAGAAGACACAGCCCTGGTCCTGGAGTTCTACTCCTCGACTTCAAGTACGTACCTCCTGGTGCCACGCCAGGACAGCCATGCATCAGGACGTATGCGTGAAAGGGTGTTCAGACCATCCCGCCTCTGCCTCCCACTGGAATGAGCTAAGGGCTCCCAGGTGCCAACACAGCCTCCCAGTGCGAGCAGACAAGCAGAGGAGAGCCTGGCTGGACTGTTGTCAAAGTGACAGCGATGGAACACAGGCCAGGTCACATGGTCTATTCCCGTACTAGGTTCTATTCCCATACTAGGTTCTTATTGCTCCCATCAGAGAGAGGGCGGGGGAGCCCTCAGAGCCCACAGCTCCCAGAGCTCACAGGGAGGGGTGGGGGGACAGGTTCAGAGGCCAGCTGATCCACAGTCTTACTTCCATACTCTGAGATCGAAGCCCCCAAGTGGCAGATACAAGGGTGACCCATATAAATACCCAGAGACACAGAATATGTTTAGAGTTGGCTTTGAGTTCACGAAGCCCCGAAGATGGAAGAGAAGGAGGACAAATGTGCGGGGCAAGGCCAGGAGGCAGGAAAGGAGCTGGGTGGTGGGAGATGGGAGAACTAGATGCCGGTATCAAAGGATGGGGCCCGGGTGGGGGCACAGACGCTGGCATCTGAGAAGCCGGTGGGAGCCCCAGCTGCTCCTCCCCCCACAGTGAAAGGCAGCGAGTCATGGACCCTCAGCCAGCCCCTGGGCGTCTCTGTGTTGCCGCTGAAGAGTCGTTTGTACCGAAAGATGCTGACAGAGAAAGGCTTGAATGGGCTACGCATAGAGCGACTCCCCATCACTGTGAGTCCCCCACCCTGCACTGAGCCCTCTGCAGGTCCCCCTGGTCCCACCCCACTCCACCCTGCTCAACCTTGCCACACAACCTTCTCCACAGGAGAATTTGGCTTCTCCAAAAGCTTCTAGCAGGGCACCCACCAGAGAAGCCAACCACTGCAGGTGTGAGAAGATCCCCCAACATGAAAACCAGTCTTGCCTCTGGGGCTGTGATGAAATTGCTCCTGAGAAACATGGGGAGGGCACAAGGAGGCCCTGTGGGTTAGTGGCAAGAGCTTAGGCTTTCAGCCAGCCGGACCTGGGTTCAAATCCTGCCTTGCCCCCGTCCTCACTGTGGAAGCAGGGGAAAATTGCTTAACATCTCTGAACTTCAGAGTCCTCATCTCTAGAACGGGAACAGCATGCCCAGCACACAATCTCTGTGCATACGAGAAGAGTAAGAGCTCAGACTCTAGAGCCAAGACTGTCTGGGTCCAAATTCTGGTTTCACCACTTACCAGCCTACACAACCAAGGGAAAATTAAACCCTCAATGGCTCAGTTTCTTTGTAAAATGAGTACTTAGTAATAGTACTTTTCTCATAGGGTTGCTATGAGATTTTATGAAGAAATACATGTAAAGTACTTAGAATAAGTTCTCAGTAAGAATTAATATCATTATCATCATTATCTATTTCTATGGCACCTTTTTCCATAAAATCCTTCTGACCATCCTGATACAATAAACCTCAGCAAATGGGAGCTTCCCCTCTGCCTGCAGGCGCCAGTCAGGTCTCTAGTGGAGTTGGGAAGGGTGGTATGGAGACGGCAAGGGGGGGAAGAGGCAGAATGCCAGCTGCCACCCCCGCCCGCCCTCCCCAGCACAGCCCCCAGAGGATACCTTCCTGGGGATTCCAGAATGGTAGGTGGAGAGGAGGCTGAACCTGTCCTGGCCAGTGGGGTCTGACTGCTCCCTTCTCCTCCCCAGGACACCAACCTGAAAACCACAACTGGTGAGGCCCCCACAGTGGATCTCTCCTTCAAGCTGCTCTCCTCTGAGGTAAGGCTGTGGGCTGGGGGAAGGTCAGGGCTGCCAGACACACGCCAGCTCCTGTCACCCCTCCATGAGTTCCAGTCTCCTTCACAATCACTGGCCTTGTTCAGGGCCTAGGGGCCAGGGGCTTCTGGGAGGAGGGATTGCTGCTTCAGGTGGAAATGTCTGAGGGTGACTTGAGACTCCAGAAAATCAGAGAGAAAGCTGAGATTAGGAAGAAGAGTCACCCAGACCTGGCAATCAGCCTCTGACCCAGTCCAAGCTAAGCCTGGCTCACTGAGATCAAGGTTCTACAAAGGTGAGTTAAGATACCAGTTTTCTATTACTGCACAACAAACTCAGCAGCTTAAAGCAATAGCCATTTATTAGTAAGTATTCCAACATAGCCTGGCTGAAATCAAGATGTTGGCAGGGCTGCATTCCTTTCTGGAGACTCTGGGGAAGAATCTCCACTTCCAGGTTCATTCAGGTTCCTGGCACATTCTGGTTCTCCACAGCATAGGACTGACATCCCAGTCTCCTTGCTGGCTGTCAGCCTCTGCTCTCAGCTCCTGAAGGCCACCCACATTCCTTCTCTCAATGGCCCCCTCCATCTTTAAGCTAGCAGCCATGTCCAATCCCCTTCACACTCTAAAACTCAACTTCCTCTTCTGTCAGCAGCCAGAGAAAACTCGATGCTTTTAAAAAGACTGGTATGATTAGGTCAGGCCCACTGGATGACCTCCGTGTCTTAAGGTCAACATATAATTAAACATAATCATAGGAGTGATAGCTCATCATAGTCACAGTTCCAAGGGTCAGGGTGTGGATTCTCGGGGGCCCATATTCGAAATTCTGCCCACCGTGGCTGGGTTGGTCCACATGGAAAGATAGCCGGGGCTGAAACCTGCCTGATGGATGGGCTCTCTTCCTCTCACTTAGCTACACCTGGGCTCTGAGTCTAGCTTGCACCCTGGTCATTTGGCTCCAATGCACCTGGCAGACACCTGCTGGAATTTTTTCCACTTTCCTCTTTGTCGTGCTGGGATGTGGGCAGTTTAGGACCATAAACCTAGGAAATGCTTGCAGGGGCTGATGTCTGGGCCAGCCCACTCCTCCCAGGTTCCCATTCCAGGGAAAATAGGCAGCAGCTCTGGGGTAGGACTGACCTTTGAGGAACACAGGGAGTTCCATGGTGTGGGGTAAGAGGCATGCATCTGGGAAGGCACCGGGCTGAAATTGTCTCCTCATAAGGCCTCTGGGGAGTGCCTGACACCTGCCATTAGCACTCCCTGCTGTGAGCATTCAGCACTGCCCTCTCAAGCCTCCTCAAATATTTGGGTGGCAGAGAGTTTATTAGATACTCCCTGACAGTCCCACCACCGCCACCACTGCCTGACCAGTGCAGGAACAAGAAGGTACTGGAACGGGAGGTCACAAAAGAAGCAAAAGGCCCCAAGAAAGAGGAAGACTTTTGGAGAAAAATGTCACAAACATCCCAGGTTGGAGCTCCACTCTCCAGGTCCTCTTCCCAGGGTCTGGAGTCTGCCAGTGGGCACTGCCAGTCCCTCCTCACTTCCCTCTGCTCCCTGCCCCCTCCACTGGGGCATGTGTGTCCTGAGACTGAAAGGAGCGTCAAGTGCCCCTGGTCAGGGGACTGGCGGGCCCAGGCAGGCAACAGGCAGGTGGGCAGGACACTTCCCCAATTGCCCAGGGGCTGGGCACAAAGGTCTTTGGTGATGAATTATTCACTGGAGCTGTGCTAAGTGCAGAATTAATCCCTTTTCTTCCAGCTGGCGGCCTCACTAAATTATCCCTCCAAGTCATGCGGGAAAATGCTGCCGAATTCATTTAGCTGCTGAGTGTTTTGATCTGGGCCTTGTGATTTTAGCTTTCCCTTCCCCCAACCCCCTCCCCTGGAGGTGTATAAAAAAAAAAAAAAGAAAGAAAAAAAACCTTTTAGTAATGGATTTCCGAGAAGAAAGGAAAAGAAAGGGGATCAAGATTGGGTGTATACCAGGAAAATAGTACTAGCAGAAATTCAGATTCTGCAGCCAAGAATTCATACGTATGGAGTCTACACACATACATGCTGTCAGGCCATCATACTGGAATATCTCCACACTGGAGTCACATACACACAGATGCGTGCACACACACCTCTGCAAGGGTGCACACGTTTAATGCATATGTACATGCTCTCACACACGTGCAAACTCACACACGTACGTCTTCACACCCACATTAGCACACATGGAAGCTAAATCTCTTTGCAGCTTAACTGTTTCTTGGATAAACTATCAGAACTAGCCAATAACTGACTCACTTTGATTCTAGAATCTTGAAGACCAATACAGGGGGCTGAGCACGATGTGCTAACATGGGTGGACTCAGCATGAGGTTCTTGCAGCTCCAGCACCCATCCATATTCTTGTATTCCATGCATATTTGATAAGGAGCCACTACGTGCCAGGCACTGTGCAAGGCAAGAAGTAGAATTTCGGTGCCCTTGTGGATTGAAATGGGAAGGTAGAGGGGCCAGCGGCCATGGAGCCCATCTGCCTGAGTTCTCCTTCATCAGACTTGCAGACGGCTCTCTGCTAGTATCGGAGCCCTCATGGCATCCTTTTCCATAAGGGATGGTGGCAAGTGTTGTGAACGATGAACAGGTCAGGTGGCATTGCAGCTAAGTCTGAAGGGCCCATCCCCTTCTCCATCTTTCACCTTCCCCTCACTGTAATACCCTCGTTGTCTCCCATGCACCTGCAAACATTCACAGAGCACATGCTACGCAGCAGGTACTATTCTGGATTTTAAGTATATTAGACTACAACAACAACAAAAAAGACCCGCTCTTCATAAAGCTTGCATTCTTAGAAGGCAGGGAATGTGGAACAGACAATGAACAAGTAAATTCATAAGCAGATATCAGCTGATGTTAAGTGGCCTGATGAAACTCAAACAAGGTGACGTGATAGGGCGTCCTTGAGAGGCTGTTTGGATTCCATGTGGTGTCTGTGTAAGGTTATGAGTTCAACTGGTATAACAGAGACCAAGTTCCTTCCGTCTTTTTGTTCCCCCTGAGTTGTTGCCTGCAACTTTATGGTGGAAGGGACTTGGTTTTCATCTCTGCATTGCAGCGTGTGGGAAGGCAGCTGCAGAACTGGGACCAGACCATCGATTCTTCCACCATTTAAATCAAACACTGCTTAAAGCTCCAGGAGCCAACACCTGACTCTTGGAGATCGTAGAGTCCTATGGACACTCCAGCTGCAGTGGGGCATGTGATTAGTGAGCCTCTTGGAGCCCCTTGTCCGCATGGGTAACAACACCATCTCAGGGACAACTCCTTGCATGTGGTCAGACATGCTGTTACAGACTGGAAATCCATCAGGAGAAATGAATATGCATGCCTGAGGATACAGTCTCTTCCTTGTGACCCTTCATGTCCAGGAGGTTCAAACACAGGCTGCCCTGGGTGGTTGCATTTTTTGGTGAACACAGCCTCCCCATGCCCACCACCTCCACATCACCCACTCTCAGAGCTCTTGGAACAAGAGTGTGGTGGAATTTCCAAATAGGCAGAGACTGCAGAGGTCTCTCTCAACAGCCCACCCTGGACAGGAATCTCCTTAGCGACATCTGCCACAGGTGGCCATCCTGGCCACTCTTTCTGCTCTGCATGGCAGGGAGCTCACCATCTCCAGAAGCAGCCCATCCCATGGCTCAGTGGCTGAAGCTGAGTAATAGAAACGCTCACCTCACATTGACCCCAACCCACCTTCCCTCTGCCCCAGGCTCCTGGCTCTGCCCCCGGGGCTGCAGTGCAACCCCAGCCAGCTGCCTGCGCTGATCACATCATCAGCAACCCAGCACATTTGTGGAGGTCTCAGCAAATGGCAAGAGGCGGTGGTCTCTGGTCTGGGATATTATGCTTGAACGTGGTTTGTTGGTGATGGGTTGGTTTTTACCCTCTGGTGAGACTTCTCTATGAGCATTTTCTACTTAGAGTGATCTGCCTTAAGCTGGATTTGTATGTGTAGGTGAGTATGTGTATATATACAAACAGATACTTAACTAGAAAAGCGTGTACATGCGCATGTACACAGGAAACTCCCCTTCGTTGCACAGTCAGTGGGGGTTGGCCTTTGAGGCCCGTTGGGCTCTAAGAATCCATGAGCCTATGGATACTCCACATACACATGCACAGATAAACCTGTGGTCTCCTCCCTTCCCCCTCTGATCTTGGCCTCTTCTCTTTGAAGAGTGTGATGTGGTCCCCTGGGAGTCTATACTTCTCCAGGCTAGGCAGTGGCTCTTTTAATGAACTGGTTGCAAGATCCTGAGCATCCTGGGTGCCCTCCAGCTTGCAGAGAGCCTCTATGAAGTGAGGCCCACATTGACCAGGTTTCCTGGGCTGACCCATGTGAGTTGCAGCCTGACATGCACACAATAGGTGCTCATTGTGTCTGTTCCTGCCTCTCTACCTGAAAATGTACCTCCCCATGACAAGGGACACATTTATGCAGCCATCTGGAGGTCTGGCAACATTTCTCCCTTTTGGGTTGGGATTTAGGATTCATTGTCTTGCCCGGGTGGGGCACCAACGCATCAGGCAGAGGTAGGGCCTCTCGGATGGGTGGCCACCTCCTCCTCAGTCCACCCAAGAGATACGCGGAGGACTTGAAATCCACTGGCTTTTGGCAAAGAAAGGGTGCATTCGAGGAGAGGGGTGGTGGCACCTGCTGCCACCACTGAGAAAGGGGCAGCTGCCACAGTCCCATTTGACCCTCCCCCTCCCTCTTCCTCTCACAGGGAGGAGGAGGGGCGAGTCTCTAATGCCATGAAAAGGGCTGCCCTGGTGCTTTTTTTTCAAACTAGTTACAAAGCTGTCTCTGGAGACCAGCCCAGAGTGGGGAGAAGTGGCTACTTAGCAAATGTAGAGGGGAGGGCAGGGGACAGGCAGAATTATGCTGGCTTTTGATGAATTTTTATGGATTTTTTGAAAGCCACACATGATGGCCCTG